AGCAGGAGCAGTGGGCTTGTGTCCCCAGATTCGCTGCCCGACGAGGACTCCGCCGCTGCTGGTCCCCCCGTCTCGGTAACTACCGCCCTGAGCTGGCCGGGTGCGGGGAGGGGGTTCCTGCCGTATAGAGACAACGTGCGGCGGTTGCTTCGTTTTGTACTGTCCAACTAAAACCGTCAGCAGGTTGGAGTGCATCCCTCCCGCGTTCCCCGAGCCCTCGTTCCTCTCAACCCCACCACGCACGGAGGGCAGGCAGCGGGCACCTGGGCCGCGGTCTCCCCGTCTGTGCAGGGGGACAGGCACAGCCCAGTCAGTCGCACACAGCAGCGCCCAGAGCAGTGTCCGGCAAGGAGTCACTCGGCCCGGCGACTGTTAACTCTTCCTCGGCCACTCGGGAATTTTCTGGGATTTGGGGGGATTTCCGCAGTTGGCTGGATCCTTCGCCCCCGTCCGTAGGAGCAGCGCCGCCTCCTGTCCTGTCCCAGCGGCGGGCGGGCCCCTGAGGCCCCCTGTGGGCTGCCTCCCTGCTCAGACCCGCGGCCTTCCCACTGTCTAGCTGCGTGCGCTGCTGCCGCCTGCACCTCCCCTGCCTGTGAGGACGTCACGGCCCGTCACAGGGTCCAAGTTTAGCAGAAATGGGAGTGGAACTACCACACACACACACCCTCCCCCCGTTTTCTCACGCAAACCCCCCTTCCTAGAAACTGAAATGAGTGTTCCATGAGGGAACGGGTGCCCTGGAGTTCACGTCAGGGTGGTCCTGCCAGTCGAGTGTCTGGGTCGTGGGCCCGAGGGCGGGAGCGCCGGTGGCCGCGCTTCCTCACCCGCAGTCTCCCTGGTGAGCAGGAAGGAGAGAGGTGGGACGGAGCCAGCAATGACGAGGACGACCCCAAGGGGAAGACGCTTCCCGAGGACCCGGAGACCTGCCTGCAGCTGAACATGGTCTACCAGCTGGTGCTGCAGGAGAAGCTGGCGGAGGTCAGCCTGCTGCTGGCCCAGAACCAGGAGCAGCAGGTAGGACAGTCCGGCCCACGCACCCCGCCAGGCCCCCCGGGACCAGGGTGGTCCTCCCACAGGCCCTCGTGTCCACAGGAGGAAGTCATGTGGGACCTGGCAGGGTCCAAAGGCCCCCGGGTGAAGGACAGCAAGAGCCTGCCCCTGAACTTGTACGTCGGGCATTTCCTCAAGCCCTACTTCAAGGACAAGGTCACCGGAGTGGTGAGTCCACGCGTCGGGTCCGTGGGGCGGGCGCACCCCCACAGCCTGTCGGGGATTCCCGTGGTCTTCAGGGCGGTGGTCTCCAGCGTCCTAGCCCCTCCCGGGCCCCCTCCTGCATGGGGCCGGCCAGCTGCTCCACAGTCAGCCCTGGGCCTGGCCTCCGGGGGTGGCCGAGGGCCAGCGAGGCAGGGCTGCCCGGTCCTGGTGGTGGGGCCCGGTGTTGCTGGT